AATCAGGTGAAACAACTTATCTTCTCTGCTGCAGGCTATCAGCTTCTGCACCAAGAAATTCCAAACCCTGTGATCTGTATAAATTGACTAGATTTATACTGATTTAGTAACCTGGTATAATTTATCATATTTTGTGTAATTCATCCTGATTGTGAGTCATTGAAGAGGGAGGAATATAGCAATGCAGGAACCCATGTCCCAGCCCCATGATTTAACTGTTTCACTTGGTCCGGAAAAATCTCTACCAGTTAGTCTATAAGGTAAAGGTAAAGGTTCCCCCACACATATGTGGTAGTTGTTTCCAGCTCTAGGGGCAGTGCTCATCTCCGTTTCTAAGCCGAAGAACCAGCGCTGTGTGAAGATGTGTTCTTGTGGCCAGCATCATCACGCGACAAATGCACGTCCGACAACAGCGCGCCGACAAAACCGCGGCGATAAAACCGTGATGTTGACAGCGCACCAACAAAGGTGCGCCGACAAAAGAGCGCCGACAGAAGCGCGATTATGGTTAAGGTAAGGGTTAGGGTAAGGGTTAGGGTTAGGTTCAGGGTTAGGTTTAAGGTTAGGTTTAGAGCACGCTTCTCTCGGTGCGCTGTTGTCAGCGCGCTTCTGAGCTCATTCGTTGGTGTGATTTCAAACTCGCGGTTTTCTCCCCGCGGTTTCGTCGGCGCGCTTNTAAATAAATAAATAAATAAATAAATAAATAAATAAATAAATAAATAAATAAATAAATAAATACATACATACATACATACTTATTCAATGTATGTGAGCCCAGCTTTTAAGATTATTTGAGGTCTCTAGCATTAAAAACAAGAATCATTTTTATTGTACAAAAACTGTACTTTTGCTGTAAACTGTGAAACTTGCTGCAAAAAAGCAATTCCTTTCGACTGTGATTCCTAGTGACTTAATAACAATAGCACTTTATAAACCACTACATAGTGCTTTACAACTCTCTATAAGCAGTTTACAAAGTCAGTATCTTGTGCCCAACAATCTAAGTCCTCATTTTACTAACCTCAGAAGAATGGAAGGCTAAGTCTTCCAAACTGCTAAGTGGGCAGTTTGCTGCAATACTACATTCTATCATGGTGGCTTCCGACTTACATAGGCACACATCTGCAGCTTTCTTGCAAGTGTTTTTCTGAGATTTTTTTTTCATGCTTCCAGTCTAACTTATTGCAGCAGATTTCCTAAGTAATCCCTCAGTCAAGTACAGATCAAAGTCAACCCTGGGTAATTCCCATTATTGTGTGTTTTTTCTGATATGGTAGACTGTTGTTTTTTGTATAAATTATTTTTAAAATTAAAAATAGAAATGTTTAGAAAGTTCATGTTTATGCTATGTGTAAATATTAATCTGTTTTAGAAACAGTCTAAAATATTTAAAATGTCTGCAGGTTTATTGCTAGATATTGGGTCAAAATAAGATAAGTAAATGGTGCCTCCCCTCCCCTCCTCAGGTTTATAACCTTGATTACCTTTAGGAAAAAGAAAAGCCTTATTCTGCAGAGTACAGTATGAAAAAAAGATTTTGCAATGGGAAATGCATAGGAAATTATAAAGAAATATCTGTTAGTACACCATCTTGCCTGGGATAATTCCTCCTACTTTATCATAAATGCCTATTGCCCATGGAATTACAATGTGTTCCATTATTTTCTTATTCAAGAGTATTTTTTGTGTACAAGTAGAATATCACACACAGGCTAATTCCAAATTAAAGCCCTACGTGGTTTAGGACCTGACTACCTGAGAGACTGCCTCTTGCCATTTACCTCCCAAAGACCAATAAGATCACACAGATTAGGCCTCCTCCGGGTGCCATCGGCGGGTCAATGTCGGCTGGTGACCCCCTGGGGGAGGGCCTTCTCTGTTGCTGCCCCGGCCCTATGGAATGATCTCCCCGTAGAGATCTGGACCCTCACTACTCTTCCGGCCTTCCGTAAAGCTACTAAGACCTGGCTGTTGATTACTATCCAGCCCCATTTTTAAGCAGTATGTATGTTGTGTAATTTTAAATAATTATACTTCTATTTTTAATTTTTATATTTCCTTCTTTGTCTGTAAGCCGCCCAGAGTCCCCTGGGAGTGGACGGCATACAAATGCCAATAAACTTCCAAACTTCCAAATGAAGCATTTGGCTATTACTGTACATGGATCCTCCATAAGGATCCTTAAGAGAGAAGCAGTTGTTTTTATTTCTTGGAAATGTTTCTTATATCCAGTAAATTCAGTCTTTCTATGTAAGCCGTTTTTATTATGTACCATTCAGACCTAGGCTAGTGCCACTGGGCTGTTTTGAGCAGACTTCATTTTTCTCATGGCAATTCTTCCATGCTCTATTGCAATATGACCCAGAGGATTAGGGGACTTTTTTGAATGGTAGGTGATGGCTTGTGGTGCTAGGGGAAAGGATTGAGAGGGAAAGAGTCAAAAATTGAGTGGAAACATTTTCTGCATGTACTGTTTACCCCAACCTGATTCAGAAAAAAATGACTTTTTAAAATAGGGTTAAACTCTGTTGCCCCCCCCCCAGAATATGTATAAGTGATATAACTGTTCTAATTGAGAATATTGGGAGTTGGAATCCAACAATATATGGAGAGTCACAGGTTCTCCATACATAGATAAGACCAAATTATTCTACTGAACCAGGCAAGACATTTATGAGAAATCAAGTCTTTCTAAACAACCACCATGTCACAGTACTTGCATGACTAATTTGTTCTCTGTTTTTTAGCTTGTTCTGAACATTCAATTATGCTAGAAGGTAACTGCAAACATATATTTTTATAACGACAATCCTGTTGAAGTTCATGCTTAACTTCCATATCTTCCTCAGGGAGATCATGCAGTTTTAAACGAATACTCAGTTTTATGTGTGGCATTTGTTGTTGGTGGTGGTTGTGAAGTTGTGTCCATCCTATCACGATTCCATGGACAATGTTCCTCCAGGCCTTCTTGTTGTTTACCATCCCCTGGAGTCCATTTTAGCTGACGTCGACTGCTTCAGTGATTCCATCCAGCCACCTCATTCTCTGTCATCCCTTTCTTCTTTTGCCCTCAGTCTTTCCCAGCATTAGGATCTTCTCCAGTGAGTCCTTCCTTCTCATTAGGTGGCCAAAGTATTTGAGTTTTAAGTTCAGAATCTCGCCTCCTAAAGAGCAATAGCAATAGCAGTTAGACTTATATACCGCTTCATAGGGCTTTCAGCCCTCTCTAAGCGGTT